TTCGACGAGTTCTGGAAGGTAAGAAAGCTCACTACTTCTCATGTTAAGTTAATGACTACTACACAAAAAAATGACAGAAGATAATTTACTTTGGAAATTGTTTGCAAGCCAGCCAAAGCTGAACACAAGGCATTGAACCCACGGAATTCAGGTTTGTTTATCCATATCAAAATATTCTTTTCGTCATGGCCCTGAGCAAGAAAGCAAAAGGGAGAAATTAAATTAAGATGGAAAGCAGACAAAAAAGGAACTGTTCATCTTATCATTGATTCTCAATCCTAGATAGCACACGAATAGATGCCCAAGCATCGACATCTGTTTATGTCCAATCCTTTTTAAAGGTGGGTTGTTGGTTTTTTTTAAATTCACCAACTTGCACATCTGCTAAGTTCACTGAAGGCAACAGTGCCCTTGTTCTGACTCACCAAACACGAGAAGATAGGAATTGATACATTCCCCCTGCTATACGCAGGAAATCTTCCCAGAAAAATATCTCAGAAATCCCTGATAATATTTAGCTGACTGACATATTGAAAACCATGTTTTGTAAAAGGTAGGCCATCAACCCTGACCCTAACATTTTAAGGAAAAACACAGCAGTCATTTGTCAAAGGAATGGGTTTTTTCTAAACATAATTTGACACTCCTGTTATACACTTTTTAAATTTGAAGGTTAACATAAATGGTACATACAATTTAAATCACCACAGAACATGAAAACAATTTTATTATCTGATTTTTAGACACCATTCTGTTTCCCATTCTTCTCTCCCATTCCTACAAGATAACCCATCCAGCATATCCTGCGAATCCCACCTGCGAGTCTCGAGAGCCAGAAATATTCACCAGCTTCCTAGTTAATGTCTCCCACAAGTATATATTTCCTTTCATGTGATCTACTTACTCCACAAGGAAGACACAAATAAGACAGAACATGCTCTACTCTATAGCAGCTTCTTTGCAAAAGCAGTTTTAACTGACATGCAGTTTTGTTTATAATTCCTGTAAGTCACGATATCAGCATAAAGGGTATACTTTCACCACCACAGCTTCATTCCTTTATATTTTCTTTCCCAAAAAACAAGACCACAAAACCAAAAAGGCTCACTATTATTATAAAAATGCTTGTATTGAAGCTAAATATTTATTTACTCATATTTATGCACTCTTTGTGATACACCACTTGCTCATACAGATTTTTTTCTAAAGCTCTGGAGGTCAGCCTCAACAAGAACAGGAGGTGTTACCGATATTTCTAAAGTCCTTACCTCATCTCGCTTGTCAGACTAAAATGGTTCTGTTCACCATATACTAGGAAGTAAACCTCGTCACTTGGTTTGGGTGCACAAGCAAGTTTTTTTCCCTTTGTCAGGTTGCTGTGTACCAACAGAATTTCTTCTGTCTTCCTCTAGAGACTGGGGCATGTATTTCTTAACACTGTCTGGACATCCCACTTAAAGGCTTCCCAGGTATGGCAGAAGTCTTGGACACTGTTCCAGTGCCTATTATATCCCTTAGCTTTAAGCATTCCACTGGCAGCACTGAATTTGTTACAGGATAATTAACCCATCCTGCAGATACATTGTGGCCATTCTCAATTCCTGGTTCTGGCCCGGGTTTACCAGGGATTGGACCCACTGACCCACACGGTCCTTCCCTGTCCTACCTTCTTAACACTGACATGTGTAGGCAGGCTAGGAAGGTGCATCAGGGTTTGTTTTATGCAATGAAGGGGAACTGATTATAAGTCACTAAATTTAAAGCAGATAGAAGATACACATCAAAAACTGTCATGTGTCTTTTTCCTCTTTAAAAGAGTCCAGAACACAAAAAGCAACAGGAATCAAAACATGCACATAAACTTCCTAGTGAAGTGATCAAAATAGCTCTCATTCTTTAATTACCTAGGAGACTGAAGACCTGTGGACATTAATTTTCTGTCATTGTAGGGATGAAGAGTTTATAGCCTCATTTTCAGAGTATACAGTCAGTAAATACTACGTTTTTATTATATGCATGGTTGTTTCTCTCTTCCCTCCAGGTGGCATGCAACCAACAACCAACTTCCCAGGAGAGGAAACACAATGCTAAAAGTGAGAAGGATATTTCAAAAGCCCAGAAGTACCTAAGAAGCACTGATGAATCCATGTAGGCAGCTATCCTAAAGTCACCACGGGTAACATCCCTGTGAAAAGCAAAGCATGCTCCATCTACAGAATTTCCATCATAATCTTGCCCTGACAACAAAGTTGTGTTAATGATATTGACAGAATCCACATACTAGAAAACATCACTACTCAATCAGCATTGGATTTTCTAGGATCTCATGCTCTACCACTGCCACATGGCATCCCGCTGCCTGCCAGAGTTAAACTCTTGGTTTAAACAAGCACTAAATGATAGAATCCTCATCACCCAGAGTGTTCTCACAGCAAGAGTAGCCAGCAAGGTTCAAGAATGTGTGTTATTGCTTCTTAATCCTAGCAATCAGTCTGATTATTTTTAAAAGCTGCGTGCATCCATCCATCCATCCATCCATCTCTGAGCATGCCATACTTGGATAAACCAAACCAGACCTTCTAAACATACTACAATTTTCAAGTGGCTTAGCCAGGTAAGTGTTATAACAAACCTCTCACAAGTCAAGGTTTGGGGGGCATAAGCTTGAAAACAGGGAGGGGTGAGGGCAGGAGGAATAACAATGGGAGAGTATCCTGCTTCACAAAATAAGTAATAATAGCAGGGAACTCACACACTGGTTACAATAGCATAGTGAAATATTTCTATTCACGCAGCAACACAGATAACTGCTACCAGGAACCAAGAAACTGGCAGATGCAGCAAAAAAAAAAAAAAAAACCTAGGTTTCTTTCATGACCAAGATTTGCAATTCAGTAAAAAGGCCATGTAAATACCAAACCTGCTTTTTTTGCCAGTCAGGCCATTAGCCAGAGGTAAGAGATGAAAAGTTATGCAAACAGAACCTCATAAATCTTGAGACAGGGTCAAAGAAACAACACTAAGACCTATGAAAAACATGATGCTTTAATACAGCTCAGATAAGAGAAACCCAAACTGAAGAAAACCTGCTAACAACCTTACAGTGATTTAATTACAGCTAAGTTAGGTTTCCCTGAAAAGGTGAAGAAAGTTATAATTCTATCAAATACTATGATAAACTCAAGATTTACTCAGCAGATCCCAAACCTTTTCTAACTGTAGCCTTTCTTGCAGCTTGTGGATTCAGACAATTGCAAATTTCTGGATAATATAGCAGTCATATGCATGACTATTCAGGAAACTGCCATTCTGTGATAAAGTTCTGAACTATGCTTCCAGAACCGAACTACATTCAGTACAGCTGTCTCAGTTATTTAATAACTAGTGGTTTCATCCAAATATGTCATTACTGGAAAAAAAAAAATAAATAAAAATCAACTATTGCACTACCAACTCTACTAACACTAGCATGGGCAAGGTGGTGATTCTTCTCCTCTAATCTTATTTTATATGGCTGTAAGGGTGCTGACTCATAAGTGACCCTGAATTGGGGCACACATCTGAGCTGCTGCAGTTTCCAACACAACATACAGGAATATGTCAGGCTGTAGATTGCAGTAGCTCAGGAGGAGGATGTACGTTCAGCCGCCTACTACTATAGATGCAGTAACCTCCGGGAGAAAAGGAGGGCAGGCAGCTGGTGGAGATTACTGCTGTAGACATCCTAGCCGAGTTGGCCATTGTTTAAGAATTACTATCCTGCAGTCAAACCAGACAACTTTTTTTGGTTAGAGCCTGTTGGATTTGAGGTAACGTATTATCCAGCTACAACCACCCAGCATATACTAATGTGCCCCTAAAACAAGCTTCGATAAAATGCTGAACATACATTATTCTTTGGTCCAATTCTATTTCTATCTATTTACTTTCTTGTACTTGGCTTCCGTACTGCTTTCCCTCACCACCACCTCCATAGGTGTTGCATTATATCTTTTCTTCACATTTCCTAGTCTCTCCCATTTCCACTGGGGTTTCAATTTAAACCATTTCAGACTGTGTCGGCAGAAACCATGATGGGAACTTCCAGCATGCATGCAACATTCCATGTAAAATAAACGGTACACCTCATAACTCAGATGTAGAGTTCACATTACAAATGAGACTGATGTGGAAAGACAGCAATTCCTGACACATGCTTCAGGACGGCAGCAGATTCAGAAACAAAGCATCGTGTCAGCTGACGCTTACTTTGTAGTAGACGTAAGAAAAACAAGTGAAACGTGACCATTGAGGATTCACAGGGAAAAAAATTAAAAAAAAAAAAAAAAAAAAACCAACGATACCGCAAGGTCTAGGTAGAAAGACACCGGTCACCATTACCTCGGATGATGTGACTAAGACAACAAAAGCGTGCGCTTCCCAAGGACAGCCTAAATAAGCAGGGGCGGCAAAACGCACCAGGGAACGAGCACGGGAGGAGCGCGAAAGGACCGAGCGTACGAGGCGAAACCAAACCCCACCCGGCGCACGGCAGCCCGCCCCGGCGAGCGGTGCCCGGCGGGACGCGGGCCCGGCGGCGGCCAGGGCGAGGCGGTCGTCCCCGCCGCCGTCCCCGCGGGCCCGGGGGGAGCCGGGGCCGCCGCCGCCCAGCCCCCGGGCGGTGACACCGTGCGCGGGCCCCGGCGGGGGTGAGGCCCCGCACTGCCCCCCCCCCCTCCCCGGCCGCGCCCGGGCGCCCCCTCTCTCCGGCCGCCCGACGGGCCACGCAGCCCTCGGGTGGAACCGCCGCCGAACCCGGACCCACCTGAGTAGCAGCAGCTCTCCCCGGCGACAGGCCCCGCCGCCGCAGCCCCTGCCCACAGCTACCGGCTCCCGCAGGCCCCGCCCCGCTCCGGGCTCCCCCCAGCGGCCGGTAAGACGCGTTAACCACCCCCCCACACACACACACACACACACTCCCCCCCCACCCGTCACCCCAACCCCGGAGTGAGGCCCCTCACCTGCCTGTGAGCCCTCGGGCAGGGCGGGCGCGGCAGCAGCGCCCCGGCGGAGGAGGGGGGGGTTGTCGGGCCGGGCGGTTCGGCTCCGCTCCCCGCTCTCGCGCGCGCGCGAGCTCCGCCGCTCCCTCCCGCGCCCCCGGCGCGAGACACGCGCAGGCCCCGCCCCCTGCCGCCGCCGCCGCCGCCGCGACGCCCCGCAGCCCCGCCCCTCTCTCCCCCCGACGGCCGCGCGGCGCCCCGCCCACGCAGCCGGCCTTCCCCTCGCCCTTCTCCCTCCTTCCCCCCGACCCCAACGGCGGGTGGGCGGGGCTGCCTCCGTGGCACCGCCCCCCCTTCCCCGCACGAGCGTGGGCGCGGCCTCCAGCAGACCCCGGCGCTGCGTCACCGCTACAGCGCGGCCGGCGGAAGGTTGGCCCCTCTCCCGCCCCGTAGTGGCTACGCCGGGCGCCTCCTCCCCCCCCCCCCCCGTTACCCCGGGCGGGAACTACGAACCGCCGCTGGCTAACGGAGACGGCCCCCTCAACCCAGGTACTAGGGCCGGGCAGGCGGGAAGCGCTTCTTCCCTTCCTCCCGTGGGCGGCGGGGCGCGGCAGCCGGGAGCGGGCCCACCCGCGGGGCGACGGGCGCGCGCGGGGCGTGGGTGGGGTGGTCCCTCAGGGGCCCACGCGCCGCGGGGGACCGTTGGCCGCCTCCTCTCCGGTAAGGCGGCGGCTCTGGAGCCCCGCCCGCGGGAGCGAGAGGGGGGGTTGGGGCAGCGGGGGGCGAGCCGGCGCCCCTCGGGTGAGAGGGGAAAAAAAAAATAAACAGAAAAACCCCTCTGAGTGAGCCTGTGATTGCTGCCGAAGTTAGAACGCTCAGCCCCGCTGCTGCCTTGGGCAAACGTCGGCTTCTCACCTAAACCTTCCTCAAAGGACACCCAACCTGCTGTGACTGAGCGCTGCCTTCATCCGGGCAGAGAGAGCGCATGGCCTGCTCAGGAATCTTTCTATTTCGTGGGGGGTTTTTTTATGTAAATAGCCAAAACCAACCTTGAGTTCCTTAGTCGTTATACCCAGCAGACACTAAAGTGAGAGGTTAAAGCAAATTGGATGGATCTGTAAGACTACACAAGGAATGACACAGTTAGTTATTGACATCAAAATTACCACTATTTAAATGAATATCCTGATGCAATAAATACAGTAATTCGGACCTCTCACAATTATAGCTGACGTACATTGAGGTTCCAATAACCTGAACTTCCTTCTCAACTGTAGAAGCACAGAATCCATTTTAAATTAACTCCTGAAGAATACTGTAGTGCAGGTAAGCGCAGGCTGTAGTATACAAGCTCCTCTCTCAAGCCTTAACTATCCCAGAAAAGGGATGCTTTACATTGCTGTTTAAGAAAGCAGAAGGATGAAAACAGATACAGGCTTGCCCATGCCCAAAGTGTTCTGTCAATTGCAAATGTAAATGATTTTCCATTTAAAAATGAAGAGTGTCAACCTGGAGCAAAAAGAAAAACAGCTTGAGAGCTTTAGATTTTTCATCGTAACTTAATTAGTGTGTCAGCCTAATATGGTCTTGCTGCTAGAAGTGTCACCGGTGCCTGTAATCATAATGTTTTTTATGATCTGCAGTTTGACAGGTCTCCCACAGTTCTTGCAGAGTTCAGATGTTTTAGATTCCACCTTGGATTAATTTCTTGTCTAGTAATTGCATTTGGCAAAATTATAGGCTTTCTACAGTTAACAATTGGACAGGCTACTTTTCCCTTTAAGTCCCAAACCATTACTCTTGAGTTAAAAAGCCTGCTCTTTTCCTTGCAGTGCCTAAAGTGGCTTATACATAAATGATGTGGTTATAAATCAGTCTGACAGGCTTTTAGAAAGAAGTACCCACATAAATAAGTTATGATAATTTACTGCCAGATCTGGTCTCCAGAACAAGCTCTTCTACTCCGTCTCTATAAATGTGAAACTAGTTGTTCAGGAGTGGATTGTTCACTTTTTGATTTTGTAACTGTAAGGTGGTGCCATTTCACACCTGGAAAAGAGTTTGTATGCCAAACAAGTTGTTTCTCTTTTCCTTCAGTTCTACCCCTCGGTGCAATAAAACAGAGCATGTCTTACTACAAACCTAGCTCATTGTTACAGGGTTTTTTTTTATATACCATCATTGAAAGATTATTTGTGAATGAGTACCAGTTAATCCCTTTAATGAAACATTTTCTATACACAATTATGGATTAATGCAAAGAAATTAAATTATGCTAGAAATTAAGTGGGATTTATATTCTTAGAAAGCATACGTATTTGAATTGTTTGGAATGATCTGTGTCATAAGGTGCTATTGATGCATTTTTATCTAATGAAACTTCGTGGACCCTTTGTAAGGCAAAAGTGACAATGCATGCTGAATTTTAAAACAGTGAGTAAAATTGTGTAGGAGAGAAATAATTTACACATAACACTGCTATCAAGGAACATGTTTGGAGAAGTAACCAGGAAAATTTGAAAAATATCAGGCTAAAATACAGCAATACCTGGTTTAAACTAACCCATTTGGACTGGAATTAAATTTGTAATTGCTGGACAATTGGGATCCTAAACCAACTTCCAATAGATATAGTGACAATCAATGAATTCATGACACATGTATAAAGGCTGTAGTGACAGAAAATTCAGCATAAGGAGTAAGGAGATTAATATCCTGTGTTCCAAAAATGCAGGAGTTGACCAGATAGGCTTCATTTCAGATGTTGGATGCATTCAAACATTCTAAAGAGAAACACTCCCCCACAGATGGACTATGTTATTCTGCTAAGCTTGTATAAAAATAAGGAAGAAAAAGTTTTACACTATGTTCATTAAAATTTTAATGAGTAAAAAGTGTAACCAGAATTAGTGTTTTCGGTTTTGTGCAGGTAAGGTATCATCATGCTAGACAAACCAAAAGTAAACATAGAGCTGTTTAATAACTCCAGGGGTTAAATTTTGCTTTTGGAGCCATATATATAGATTCCACTGAAATTAGTGGGACTGTTTGAAGGTATATCAAATCTGAAATGTGCTGTAACAGGAGAAATTGGTTTAGTGGTTTTTACATGCCTTGAAAGCAGATATATTTAAGCTGCTGCAGATAGCTCCAACTTTCAACTTTATACTTTTTTATTCTTTTACTGGGGTGGTTTTACTACAGAATGGGGCCTGAATCAGTACCAATAAGTTGCATCAGTATAGTATTGGCAAGCATCAGTGGCCACCTTTAGTCTACAATAGACATCCCCTCCCTATGCATTTCATCGTTTAACCTATAAAACACTGAGTTATCTTTTTCTTAGGTTGAAGTTAACAGAACATTACCTCACTTTTCTCAGGACATGGAGGCTGTTTGCCTAGAGATATTATCAGAAGTCAAAACTGAAGAGTTATATTATATGCAATTTTCCCACAGACATTTCGTAATCTGTTTTCCATTCTGTTTAAACTGTGGCATAGCACAGGCCTGTCTCGATTAGGAACATCTTCTACTTAAAAGATGTACACAGCTCAGTGTTGGATAAAGGAACCTTTGCATAACAGGTTTATCAACTTAGAGTTTGGAGTTAGCAGAGGAGAGAATACACCACAGAAATAAACAATTTTTGAAGTTTCTTTGTATTTTTTGAGTCAGAGCAATACGAACCTTAGGTTAAATAATTTAATGCCTGCTAAATCACTTGATATGTGCACAGCTGTTTGCTCTTGGTGGACTCAGTAGAATTGCATTTATTGAAAGAATGTTTAAGATTTTTGCTCAGCAAACTAAAGCATCACTGTGAAGGAAACTTACCATATGGAGAAGGATGAGGTTGAATAAAAAGCTCTCTAAAAGTGCACAGTATGTTAAAAGCATATTTTACAGATTGTGTGATGCTGCAGTTAATGTCTTGAAACAGCCATGTTCTAGCTGAGGGTTTCCCAAGTTGTGGTACTTGCACAATTCATGATATGCAAGCTATTTCAGTGTGACACAAAACCGCCTGCTTCTGATTTGCACGCCAAAAGAACTGGGAACTGATGCTCCTTGCACAGAGATTAAGGCAGAGTGCATGGTTCAAAAACCTAGTTTGTCAAGAAAGAGGGGAACTGGCAAGAGAATAGGTCATTTAGGACCAACACCTCCTTTTGGAGTAAGGGACAGTAGGGTAGACAGGTGTGTGAAGACGTGTACATTTAAAGAAATAGAAGTTATGTGCATACTATCATGGAAGTTGAAGGTGTTGCTGCCGTAACCTACAGCAGTAGTTGTACTCGAACAGATTAAATTCAGGATTATCTGTTCAAAAAGATTAGTTTATTTCCTACATGGGAATTTGTGTACACGCCCAGCTTTTCTCAGCAGTTGCTCAGTTTACTACCACCATACAAATATATAGCTACTTCTAGAGCGTTGTTGAAAATTAGTTTTTCATATCCAGTTTCCCAAAACAGCCATTTTTCTGACTGTGTACCTAATTTGTTCGAATTTTAATATTTTGTATTATTGACTTTTTTAAAAAAAAAACCTATCAAAATATGGTGGTAGTAGTAGTAAAAGCTGTTAAGATTCTTTGCTTGTTCTAGTCTGTCAAGCTAATGTTTTAGAGCACAGTGTAACACCTGTAATCTTGTGTGTGTCTTTTGTCTCAGTGGTAAGAAAAGTTTCTGACAATATTATGGTTCCACACAGCCTCCTTCTGGAGAAGCTGATGGGTTCTGGTCTGGGTGGTGGGTGGGCAACTGGCTGACAGACCACACCCAGAGGGTGGGGGGGAAATAACTCTTTTTCAAACCAGCAACCTGTCACAACTGGGGCCCAGTTGTGATTTTGCCCCCAAAAAGTTGGACTAGGTGATTCTTGAGGTCCATTCCAACCTGGCATTTTATGATTACCAGCTAAACTGAAAGTAATTCCCACTAAATAATAAATAATGGTCACAGGGGTAATAAATGATCATTCCTAAGTGTCTTTAAGCTGATGATAAATTGCTTTTATTATCCTGCATGCAGAGTGAGTATACTAGAACTTCAATTTTTAGTATTTAAAGATCATTTTAAAATACAGCTTTTGTTAAACACTGGTTTAGGAGTCAGGCAGTCTCCTAGCATTGTCCTGGCCCTGGAGGGTGTTTGAGGCTCTTTTGTACTCTAGTCAGAAGCTTATTATCTACTTCAGTATTAATGTTTCATGTGAGTTAAAACGTTGTGGGGAGAGGGGGAGGTGAGGAAACAATGTTCTACTGAGGAACGGAAGCGCCTTGCCTTCCCCTAGCTACTGGCTCTGGTATTGAGGTAGATTTATAGCTCCATTTACAGAATTAACTTTTTTCTCTTCTGAACTCCTACTCTAATAATTTTGAAATTGAAGTTCTGTCACTTTGAAATACTCTGACAATTGCTTTGAGACATAGGGCTTTTCTGTGCTGCACTTCGCTGAGCGAAAAAAAAAAAAAAAAAAAAAAGCACCACATTGCTCTAATAGAATGTTTGGTTTAAACGAGCCTTACAGCTGAAGCAAACTGTTCCTACAGGCAAAGCCTCAAACTAAACTGGCATCATCTGTCTCCTTCACACAAGCTGTAGAGCAATACATAATTTGAATACAAACCACTGACATGTTTTTAAACTGTTTATTGCAAAGAAGCATAGTGCTAGTATTCTCTAGCAGCATCTCATCTGTTGGATTAAAACCATATGATGTGAAGCTGTTCTCATCAGAATTTTGTACTTCCTCCTTCTCATTCAGAATCAACTCCCACAGCTTATTCAGAGCTTCACTAAAGGTGTATCTCTGTAGAGAATTTATACTGGTAATGATGTACACCATGTAAAAACTTGAAGGACTTAGTACTGGTTTCAATTAAAACAATTTTGCTTCAAAATGCCACCCACCTACTGTGCATAAAGATTTGTGGCAAACTGATAACAAGATTATGTAGGCAAATGCACACATTTCATGCATTTTTTTTCCCCAGGGGCTTTGTAATCATTAAGATCTGATTTAGGCTCCCAGGGAGGGGGGAAGTAGGTTTGTTCAAACTTTGATTCCCTCTGCCACTCACCACACATACTTTTTTTTTTTTTTTTTTTTTTTATAATCTTCTCATTCACAATGCAATGGTCTCTTTGCTTAACAGGGAAAATAGTTTGCTTAAATCCCGAGTGTTTCTCCTGTTAATACTCATTCCTATTTGTTCTCTTCCAAAACCAAATGTATTTACCACAAATTGCAGCTAACTTTTGATTGAAACACATTCAAATGTATGAACACCGTACAGTCATACAGCTTTTGGACCAAAGATGAATAATTATAGCCAAAATTAGGGAGAATTTTAGCTACAACTGGCATAATTACCAGTGCTCATACCTGCCAAGGAAACAACTAGTATCATTTTTTCTGAAAATTATGTGCCAAGCTCTCAGTAAACTTTGGCTTCCTTGTTTAGAGTCTAGAAAAAAAACTTGAAGAAGTGCTGAACCTGGAGTACATTAGCAAAGCATAATGCTAGCCAGGTTCTGACTGTCACATGCTATCTACTGAGGACTTTAGACTTTCTCAAGCTGTTTTGACATCTCCAGCTGTCTTGTATGTATATTGATTTGTCTTTCATTGGTATTGCACGCAGAAGTCTTAGTGATAGACTACCAGTTGGCCTCAGCATCTGTGCAGTGACAATAGAAGATTGTCTCGATGGGCTTATATAGAAGTGCTGCTGCAGCTCCCTTGCAGGCCTGTTGTGTAAGCTCTCAGCCAGACCACTTCTCCCGCAGCAGGGTGGGGTGCTAATGCAGTACCGGCTGGGAAAAGGGTGCCATCTACTGAATTATCAGTACAACTTCTTAAAATTCTTACAGGTCCTGTATGTTTTTCAACTCTGCATAACTTACGTGATATAACACAAGACAATGTGATTACAGTCAAAACCATAATCTAAAATAAAGGCTGACAAGTAAAATTTAGACAGTTGCCTCTGTTTTTTATCATAATCTAAGTATTAATGGATATTGAAAGTGATTTAAGGAAGACAGTGCCGAAGAATCTAAGAGAGGGAATTATTTTGGTTTTCGCTACTTAGAATGGTGCAATGCATTCATATTTACCTAGAAGGGGAAAAAAGAAAGAGATCTCATTTATTAGCACTGTAATATTTAGAATAAGGACTCGAGACATTATTAAATTTTTGTTCTCGTCTCGGATCTTATACAGGATCCAGATGCTGTTGAATTTTATTTTTTTTTTTTACTAGCAATAATTAATTTATTCTTTAAATAAAATAATCATTTCACTGTTGTCATATAATTTAACTTAGGCTCACCCTTACTGGTTTTATAGATAAAACCAAAACAGCACCTCTGCTTCTAGGATGAAACTAGCTATTTCTGCCTACATAGTGTAACATATTTAAGAAGAAAAGTTTTGACTGTTCTGAAACAACATCAGAAAGTAGATTTCCAACTGGGGCTGCAGCAGTTCCATGGAGTGAGAAGTATAATATTACTGTAATCCCCAACACATCTCTAACAGAATATTGTTATACTCACAGGGCAGTGGACTTAAACAGCTTTTTGGCGTGTCTTCATATGGACTGTTATTTCTGTTATCTTCAGTGTTTATATTTTCTCTTATCTTTAGGGATGCCTGAAAGTCAGGGGAAAGACAGCGAAAGCTACATCAGCAGCAATAGTCCCAACACTAGCAGTTCGGTTGCTTGCTTCGGACAGGTCAGTTCCTTTCACCTGAGAGGGAAGTAGAAGTTTTGTGCTTGTACTTCTGGAAATCTGCTCTGCATATTTACTCATTTGAAAGTTGGATACAGTAAAGGTAGAGTCATATCCATTACCCTAGCTACGCTATACCTAATTATATATTAAATTTTCCTCCACGATAGCCTTGGCATGAGTTATAATAAAATGCTCTGGATTCACCACAAAAGGGTTTTAATTTTGTTTTATAAACATGGGGCTCATTTTCTTCTCTCTTATTCCCAGACGGCCTGGCTCATGCTTGCACACATTCTAAGTACTGGTTCAGAAAAGTCAACTACTCTCAGCTATTAAAAAATAATTTTAAAAAATAATAATTTGGAAAAAAGAAAACCATATCTGGACTGAACAGACCTTTTGGTGGTGAATTCTCTTCTCCATGATTGGCATTTATACATAGTTCCTGGATATGGCATTGACATGCACTGTCCCATTTTCATTATACCTTTTGGTTACAAGCTTAAGTTCTAGTGTCAGAAAAAAGACATTAAGTTATTATTTCAAGTGTAAGTAGAATCAAATACAAATTAGAGAGTTTAGGCAGACGTTGGAACTTATGTGGCACACATTCTATCAAATTTTGTGTTCTTCTGAATGATAGGGCAGCCAATACACGCATACATAACACTTATGATTTGGTGGTGACACCTCTGTTCTGTCCCACATCAGAGCATAGCAACACAAGCTTTTTCAGTGCTTGAATCCTTAAACACACATTTAGGCTTCTCTAACCTTTACAGATCATACATTGTATTTCTACTGTGATAAGGAGCAAAAGTTAAAACACCAGGCTTCCAGTGATGCTGGTGTTGTTTAATGGTACCAGTGATGTCGGAGTTATCCAAAGGACCTTCCTTGCATGAGGGGAATTTGCTGAACACTTCTCAAGAAATTCCTAATTTGACTGCTTGCCTGAGCTGCTATCCTCCCTGCCCTGATGGCATATGGTGGTAGAGTAAGGTTAAACTTTGGTTTTGGTGGAGTTTTTAAATACGCTTTTCTCACTGATCACAGAGATACTATGTTTTATTTTTGAGAGGTAAAATATAATCTTGTGTGTTCTTGGCAACCTTGACTAGGATTATGACTGCATTAAGATTTCAATAGCATACTAATAGACCTGGCTCATCTCAGTTTTTCTAATGTAAGTGATGGTTATGAGAAATGAAAAATAATTGCTACAACTCAATAATTAATGCTTGCATATGTATACTTCAAAAGTAAGAAGGGGAAAAAAAATGCACAAATGTAATGCATACACACACCCTGAGGTCTTTTCTTGTCTGTTATATCCTGATTCTAAAAATGGATCATGCACCTCGTGAAAGGACTGTACGTGGAAAAATTGGATAAAGGAGTGATATTAGAAGAGAGGGAGTTAAAGTAGGGAGAGTGAGGAGGTTTGTTTTACCTTTTTTTTGTCAAGTATCAATACACAGCAAGTGAACATCAAGCTATCCAGCATGCTCTTCGTCAGAGACTGGGTCCAGAATACATCAGCAGTCGTCAAGCTGGAGGAGGACAAAAGGTATGAACAAACATGTATAGATGTTTCATCTCACAGTTTTTTCCAGGAAAACGGGTAAAAGGAGTTACAATAATCCTTTTTTTTTTTAAGTTAATTTCCCACTAGTAGTTTAATATGCAGATAAGAAAACAAAATCAGCTTAGCATAGCATAAATTCTGACTATTACTGAGCCAGAGATTCCTTTTACACTTTAAAAGAAGACATTTCAGTGCTTCATCCTTTACAAGGGAATAGTTATCTACTTTTGTGTCGTGGTTTCAGCTCAGAGGGTAACTGAGCACCACGCAGCCACTCACTCCCCCCTTTCCCAGAGTGCTGAGAAGGAGAAAATAAGCACAGCCTCAGGATTCAAGGTAAAGACAGGGAGGGATGAATCACCCATTACAGTCACGGGCAAAAGACAGACTTGATAGGGGAATTAAAAAAGAACATAAGTGTATTACAGACACTAACAACAACTATGCTTAACAGACAGAGTAGGACAGTGAGAAGCATTACCACATCTTGAAAACACCTTCCCCCATCCCTCCCTTCTTCCCAGGCTTAGCTTTGCTCCTGATATCTCTATTCCTCCCACCAGTGCAGAGGGCAGGGAATGGAAGTGCAGTCAGTGCTGCTGCTTCTTCCGTCTTGGGAGGGGGGAAAACGTCTGGAACTTCTTCCCCCTGCTCCACTGTGGTCCCCCTCTCACAGGGGACCGTCTTCCACAAACTCTCTCCAACTGGAGTCCCTCCCACGGGCCGCAGCCCCTCCCGAGCTGCTCCAGCGTGGGACACCCCCGCATGCTGCAATCCTCCCACTGCTGAACGACAAGAGCAGGGGCTGCTTCTTCTCAGAGGATCCCGGACTCCTTTGGGCACAGGCACCTTAATTGGCTCTGTGGGGCCACCCACAGGCCATAAATCAGCGTCTGCTCCACCGTAGGCCTACATGGGTAGCAGGAAGCAGGCCACCCTGCTGTCTCAGCACAGGATACAGGGGGGTCTCAGCTCCGACACACCTCCCCCCCTTTTCCTCCTCCATTCTTCCACTGACTTTGGTGTTTACATACACATTGCAACTCTTCCTCACAACTCCAGCTCCTCCTCCCAGGTCCCTTTTTAAATCAGTTAATCGCAGAGGCACAGCCGCTGTCGCTAATTGGCTCTGCCTTGGTGCAGAGGTGGGTCTCATTTGGAGCCAGGGGAGCTTCTAGAAGCTTCTCACAGGGGGCCACAGTTGTAGCCCCCTCCCCTGCTACCCAAAACCCCACCATTCACTCAAACCCAGGATATTGTGGAACATTGAGATGTTTTATTTTTTTCCCAGAACTGGAATATATGAAACATTATATAACATTGGCTGCATTTTACCCTCTTTAGGGCCCACTAGCTCTGCTTTCCATTGATTAAGTCATATGTGTTGTCATATTAACCCCTCATCACAGTTGCTGGAAGATGGTGAACCTAAAGCTGCATCATCATCCTTCTATTCACATTACCTGGACCTTGAATTTAACTGTGTTGCCTCAGTGTAAGATGTTGTGTGTAATCCCTCTTTAAAATAAAGCATATATAAATGTGTGTATGTAATTATATATATATTTATGTACATATGTTGGGTTTTTTTCAGGTCTGTTACCTTGAGGGTCACAAGGTAATCAGTCTGGCCAATGAGATGTTTGGATTCAACGGCTGGGCTCATTCGGTCACGCAGCAGAATGTTGGTATGTATCCCCTGAGGGTGAAGAAGTCTTTCTTGTTCCTCTGTGAGGCACTAAAGGAAAGTCTTTCAGATAAGGACCAGGGTGTCTATCCTAGAACTTGATCACTTCAGAGAACCCGGGGAGAGGCATGTGGACTTTTCAGGTGTCTTAGCAGTAGGTAAGAATGAGAGAAAATGAATAATAGTGGACCTTCTATTTTCTTTTTAGATCCTGCGCTGAAATATGTCATAGTCATTATGCTAAGTGTGTTTATGATTATTCTTGAGCTATTCTAATCAAGTTTTCTAATCTCTGTGGGAACACTCAGTCAAGAGTAATTACAATTAAACTATTTAACAGCCAGCAGCCTTGAGCTAACGTTCATACTCACCTGTAATGTTTATATTCTAACAAGTTCATGTTCTCAGTTAATATTCCCCTAATCTTTAGGGACCCATCTTTTTCTGCAGATTCCTCTTCTAGCCAATATTTGGTTCTGAGGTTTTTACAGTAGAAAACTTTGGGGAAATTGTTGTTTTAAAAAATGGTGGTCAGGTGATCTTAAAGTTTAAGCTTCTTCCATCTCAATAGCTCACTAGTTCCTACCAGAGGAGTAGTGTCTTTGTTTGCAGATCTGTACTTAGACTGAAGACTGGTTGTTGAAGTAGCTCAGCAAAGCTGCTTAAATGTACCTCTCTCCTTCCCCACTGCCTTCAGAAATTTTTTTCTTACCTCAGACTGCTAGACTCTAGACATAAAACAAGTTAGTTCATTGTTTTCCCTCTATTCTGTACCACTTATCTTTTTTTCCCCTTTTCAGTCAACAAAGGACCAACATTCTTCAAACTTACATCTTTTTAAAATAATGCCATAACAAGTCATTCCTTAGAAATTCAGGGACAGAGGATTCTGTTATGTTTGGGTTTAAATTCCTGGGTGGAAAAAGGGCTTGCACCTCCAGCAGATTGACAAAACAATTAGACAAATAGACCAGATGAGTACAAAACAACTTTTGGACCCCAGAGTACAGTCACTTGACCTTCAAAGTATTTAATTTCAGACATATGTCGTTTTTCTATCAGACTTGCAAGACTGTTAACTACAGTGCCCTATGTATTACAGAGCATTGCTTTTGATGTAAAATAAAGAAGATTAGAGATTCTGGATTGAGAGTTGCATTGCAACCTGTTAAGCTCATCAGGCAGTCTGTCCTGGATAAAACCTTGCGCAAAATTTTGCAAACTGGAGACTTCCAGTATATAATGGGAAAGAAAATACTTTTATGGACAACATTTTTTTTTTCCGTTGCTGTTTTTATAAATTGATACTTTAAATCTTTCCTTCCAGCTGAAAAAAAATGTTATGCTTTAAGCATTTAGGATATGTAGCTGAATGAGAAGTAACATTTGCAACTCATTCTTCTTTCATATGTTTAAGTAGCGGGGTGTGAGCGTTTGACAGGTCTAGCCACCAATAACCAGAAAGTATCACGTCACATGCCCAGAGCACATGTGCAAGTCAGCATTCTCAAACTGCAGTCAGTATTTTGTAAGTCATGCTCCACTTTATAGAAGATAATACAGTATCTTGGCCACATTCAGCAAGTATGGTACAGGTTTATGAATGTCCTCAAGGGACAAATTAAGATCTAAATGTGGATATGAAGTCTTTCATATTATTTAGGATGTTACTTTTCCCTCCCCCAGACTTTGTAGACCTCAACAACGGCAGGTTCTATGTGGGAGTCTGCGCATTTGTGAAAGTTCAACTTAAGGTAAGTGGATTTTTTTTTGTTTGCTCTGTCTACAGTTGAGTAATTGCCTAAAGCTGTGAGTGAAAGTTCATGCATAGGTCAGACTGTGGTTCTTGAGTACTGTACTCCACTTTCTCTATTTGGACAGCGGTGTCCAAAACATTGACCTTGCTATGGAACCACCAGCTAAGAGCAAGTAGTCAGGCTTAGGAAAGAACAAGCATCTAACAAGAAGAGCAGTATGTTCAGAAATTCCCTTATGCTTAGAATTTTTAAAATTTTACTACAGGATGGGTCATACCATGAAGACGTGGGGTATGGAGTCAGTGAAGGCCTAAAGTCTAAGGCCTTGTCGCTGGAAAAGGCAAGAAAGGAGGCAGTAACAGATGGACTGAAGAGGGCCCTCAAGTAAGTGGAGATCAGTGCTTGTACTCTTTCAGAAGTTAAGTGAGAATCAAGTGTTATTTTCAGTCCCAGTGAGCTCTCTTGTTTCTCAGGTGCTTTGGGAACGCTCTTGGGAACTGCATCCTGGACAAAGACTACCTACGAGCCGTGAACAAGCTTCCACATCAGGTGTGGTACCTGGGCTGCTGCAGCAGGGACTGCAGGATGTCCACTGCTCCTGGTCCTTCATATTAAAAAGATTATAGATAATGATATCGATGCATCTCCTCGCTGGATCTTTCCAGCTACAGAGTTCTTCCCTGACATTTTACCACAGCTGCTCTAAATTTTGACTGTTTGCAGTAGGCAAAATTACTGTGGTAAAGAAACAGTATCCTGCTCAAGATCTCATGTGACATTTATGGCCATGTTGTCTAAGACGAGAAATTGTCAGGTACATCTTCATCGGTCTTGACCATACTGTGACCCTGGTCTTTCAGAGCTCTCACAATTTATAAGTATGCTGTGATATAACACAGCAATCTTCATTGGATTAAAGTTGTCCTGGCTGTTACAGAGGTTGCAGCTCTGTAACCACTAAGCTCATGAGCTCCTGACAAGTACCAGCTGGGGGCAGTAGGCTTCTAGGCAGTAGCCTCCCTTGCCGAGTGAGGATAAAGTAAGCCTTTTCCTATGGAACTCCATGGATCAGCAGCTGTAAAGTTGCCTTCATCATACCAGGGTTTGTGAGACTCTCCTAGGCAGCCCAGAGCAGTAAGGCGGTTCTACTTACCCAGCTGAAGACTGTAGGAGCAGATCCAAAGCGACACCTTGCCAAGTAAAAATGCCACAGGTCTCTGCTTTGCCAGGGTCCTTGTCTATTTTTGCCACAGATCTGTAAAATCACAGAACCAAACCATGCTATCTTTCATAAAAAGAGAATGGCGTACCTTCCTCACTGGCCTCATGGTTGCAGAACTGAGTAAAGGCTCGCCACGCACTTTAACACAAGTGTGGAAGTGGAACTGGCAAACCCACCAGACTTGGCAACAGACTTGGGGGGGGGGGCTGAGAAGCTGCAGAATTCTGCATCGATGACCTGCATCTGTTCTCGTTTGCAGAGAGCATGGATTTTTCAACAGTACTGTATAGAAAAAAAGCTGTGCCTCTTTCATTAACTTGATGAAGGAAATTTCTGAACATGTTTTCTTTTTTTGCCTTCACCAGATACTCCCTGAGTTCGATTTGGTCAAAACTAAAAGACAAGACTATGAGCCTGAAATAGAGAAAGCAAGATACAGTAGCTGTTTGGAAAGGCAGAACGTAGGAGGGAGACAACATTGTGAGATGGCACCTAACTGTAAGCCTGGTCAGACAGAGGCTGCTGTAGTGACAGTAGATCAGAAACAGCCAAATAGTTCCAGGTGAGACTGCTATTGTAAGTTTATTTTATAAGCTATATTAGAAGTCTCTGTACCTTTGAAAACACACGGACAGCCCAGTTTGGCAGATGCTATTAAATGCTAGTTTAGTGGATTTTCCTTGCTGTTCTTTCCTTATGCGCTTTTTTCTTCATAAAATGTCATTGCTGAAATCCCATTTAACTTTGTGCTTACTTGGCGGGAGGGGCAGAAATCCAGGCTCCTTAGCTCTTGAGTGTGATGCCACTTACCAGCGGAAATTGCGACAAAAGCAGCTCCAGCAACAGTTCCGGGAACAGATGGAGAAAAAGCATCAGGTTCCAGTAGTTACTCCTAGCAGCAAACAGGGTAAGGCTTGGCATTAAAAATTAACAGTTTTAATGATAGCTACTGGCAGGCGTGTGTTACCCTCGACACAGGAGGCCTGACCAGTTTCATTTGCTTTTGTACCGTGCTCTCCACGTACCTGTGACGCCAAAGAAAGGAGGGTGGTCGCACTTCCTCCCCTCTGTGTTCTGAAAGCGGCAGGAATGTCGGCTCTAAAACGGCATCAGTAAAACTGCCACTTTCCAACCGCCCTAAAGCATCGTGCAGCACAGCAGCTCTTGGCAGTACCAACGTGCTGTGCCCAAGCTGAGGCTGCAGCACTTCACGGAGGCGGTTGCAAGCAAACAGACACTGCATTAGCCACTGGAACGTTGGTGTTTGCTCCTGGGGAGGTCTGGGCAGCTGTGTGGTAAGCGGGAGCTTAAGGCTGGGGTAAACAGGCTAAAGACCATTTTAAAGTAGTGCAGTTGCTCCTGTGAGCCATCACCTGGTGCAGAATCTTACCACTCCACATACTGCTACCAAAACGTAACCAGCTCTAGGGGAAAAAAGAGAGCACCTGGTGGCAGCTGCCGCTTAGCGTTTCGGACTCGCACCCTGTTAAGGAGGAGCAAAAGGGTTCGTCTGTATTTCTGATATTAATCTCTTCTTGTGTTGCCTCCGTCCAGCAACATCCGATCCTCCTGTAAAGCACAGCACTCCAGCAGCAGTACAACAAGAACTAGCAATAGAAGAGGAGTTCTTTGCAGGTCAGCCAAAAAGTGACAAGTATGAAATCATATAGGGTGTTAAATCATCAAACTCTTCAGAGTGCAGCGTGAAGGTAAAAATTCTACAGAGGTTGGAGTAATAGAAGTGTGAGTAGGAGTCTGATCTTAATACAAGCTTGCCTTGAGTGGCAGGTAAATGACATCATCACTGTGAGGGGTTTCACAGTTACGCTCTTCAGGGAAGGTGTTGTACCTGTTCGACATAAAAGATGCTTTATGGTTTAACTTTTATAGTGGCCACCACTTGTGGGAAGAGGGTGGCCTGGTCTTACTGTCATTTGTGTAGTACAGCACTGTCGTCCTTGGTTCGATCACCTTTTCATTTGTTCTAGATGATCCTGAACTTTGGGACATTTCCTTGGAGACCCTTGATCTTAAAGTAATGGGTCACAAAACAGCAGACCCATCAGCTGGACACCAGACACTTGAAACACCCCGCGGCCATCATCAAATGACCACTCGTAACAGGACACCTCACAGAAGGAATTACCACAAAGCTGCTGCGAGACTTCCACAACTGCAGCCGTCTGCTGCGGTCACGAGCGGCGGCAGCTGTGCCAACCAGCACACCCCAGGTACGTGCTACCAAAAAATGACCAAGTTCTGGCTTCACAGTGGCCCCTGGCTTTGAAAGCTGCACTGTTAGATGAGTAAATTGGAGTGGGAGAAACATGCATCTTGTCTTGGACTGGCTGCAGGCGCTGTGGTAGTGGGCTAGGAGAACTATCTGTTTTTTCCACCCAGCTGTCCTACCAAGGAAGAGCTAGAAAAGGACTTGAGGAGCACTTTTAAAGCAGAAAAAAGCTTTAAGAAACTTCAATTTCTCACTGTCTCCCTGTTTGGCAGAGCGCAGCCCCTACAGGAGAAGTCAAAGCTTGAAGAAAAGGAGACTAGAACCAACCTAAGGCACCATTACCTCCGTGCTAGATTACATCAGACTGCAGTTGGCTGTTCAAATGATGTGAGGAAGTTTAACGCATTAATGGACTTTCCTGTATATTATGGTGAAGCAGCAGACGAGTTTAATGCAGCCAGCAGGAACTTCATGTAATGTACTTTTAGGTTACTACATGGTTCAGATGCCTTTTCCTATAAACAAGCAATCGTTTCTGCTTCTGCAGCACTAGACTTGTGGCTGTAGGAGAAGCTGACGCTACGTGTGATTCACCTGACACGGTAACAGAATTAAGCTCTACCATGAGATGCAATTCATAGCTTCTTTCTCCCTCAGTGTTGCGTTTCAGCCCAGAGAAAAGAGGTTTTGGGGCAAAAGGGGGAGCGGGTGGGTTGTGGGCAGACAAGGGAGCCTACAGAGCCGTGGGATCCCAGGCGGTGAGGCTGAGGGCGCGAAGCGGGGGCTCCCCCTCAGCCTGTTCTCGCCGTGTCGGACTCCCAGGCAGCAGCGGCGGGGCAGGACACGCTGGGACTGCTGCCAGAGTCGCACAGAGCAGCTCCCTGTCTGCTTGGGCCCTTTGTGAAAGGAGTGGGAGCCACACTTTTGTTTTTAAACAAGCTTTCGACCCTTTTCAATATAAAAATAAACACGAAATTTGAAAAACAAAGCACACTTGTAGCTGTTCGTGCCTCTCTACCCTTCAAAGCCTTACAACTTAGTTCCTGCTTTAACAAGCTCAAAGTAGTTAACACATTGACTAGTTACAAATAGGAAACTAAAGAGACTACCAGCGTGTCTGTACAGCCTTGTGTTTGCTTTAACATAGGCAACAGAAAACTTAAAGTGGGTTTTAAACTCCAGAGCAAAGCAACAGCTGTTCCTTCCAATAAAAAGGACAAAAAAAAATAAAAATTTAAAGCAGTATTTCAAACTGGATGCAGTAGTATTTTTCAGATGTGCAGTGCTGGAGATGAGGGGGATGATAGCGCCGGGCTGGAAGTCAGAGCTGAACCAGGGAAACTTACACAAACTCTTTGATTAGCCCAAGCCTGAAATCAATGTCAGACTTGAAACAGGCCCTCGTGCCTGGGCTTTACTGTCACTGCGCTATCTGGTCAAGTCTCTTAAAGCTGTCTAAATGTAAATGCATCTGAAGTATTCAGCATTTATTCCTGCTCCTCCTACTTTATTTTCACTGCTTAATCGGTCCCCTTCAAAGATTCTCTACTATCCACTTACCTCTTCAGCAGGACAAAGAACAAGGATCTTCTGGAGTATGGAAAGATAAGACATATTATCGTTAACTGTAATAGATTACATCTGGAAAATAGTTTCCCATTTCACTAGTTTCCAAGTCGGTGCTGCGTTCAGAACAGCACAGGGAAGAAATACGTGCCGCATGTTTGAGTCATGCACTGGCTGTTGAAATCGGATACCTGTCAGGAGGGGAACGTGCAGGCATTCAGAACGGCTGGAGTCGAAGCAGCTCTGAACTTTTACAACAAGAAAAATCAAAAGCCTCATATAAACACGACTGCCTCAGCTTTCTTGATTCTGTGGAAACCGTGCAAACGTAGCCATGCCTCCTCGAAGAGAACCCATCACACTAGGCCTCTCGGGATTGGCCCCTTTGAAAAGAGCAGCGAAACTGCCACTTGGAGCTTTTTTTTCCTCTAAGGCCTTGTGCAGCATGACTCATAACAGAAGCTGTTCTTAAAATGGAAAGAAACGCAGCAGCAAGTGGTGTTTAGAAATACCAAATAATTCCTGCAAGTCTAGAGCAGAGAACGCCCCCGGAAAGTAGTTCCACGCTTCTACTTTACCAGGTCGGTTGCAAGTTTGGGGATGGAATTCCCGTTCACAGAGCTACACGGCAAAGGTTCTCCCCCCCCAGCCCCGCGGGCGCCCAGCCCCGCTCCCTTCCAGCCCGGGGGAGGAGGCCCAGGGGCCCGAGAGCAAAGGAGGCGCCGGGTCCCCCCGCGCCCGGGGCCAGACGGAAGCGCAGAACCGCTGCCGGGCAAGCTCCCGCCAGGGAGCACCCGCACGGCCGAGAGCGGAGCGTCCCTGCTCTCGGGGGACCCCCCGAGGGTCTCGGCCACAAAAGCAAGGGTGCTGCTTTGCTTACCCGTTATCCCCCACGGCTTCTCCCTCCCCTTCCCTTCGGCCCCTCCTCTTGTACAACAGATCCGTTCGATTGATTATTCTTCACAGCACCTTGTTTCAGAGTATTCGCTTAAAAACCCAGAGGCTTGTGACTGATCTCTGCTTTTGAGAAGTTAAGGGTCTCATTAAAATGGGTTTCTTGTATTTTCCCGTGATAAACCGATAAATTGGGTAACAGATCACTCCACGAAGAGGACAGAGAGGTCGAAACCTGCTGTTCAGCAAGAAAACCCACAGCTCAACAAAAGCAGGTTTGGTTTATTTGAATGACTTCATTAAATATTCTACAAAGGTAACAAATTGCAGCACAAAGCGCAGTCATACAAGAAGCGCAGTGCCTGGGTTTAGTGCAAAACATACAACTAACTACGGCCAGGGAAGCCCAAAGTTTCAATTAATTTTATTTTTTTTATTTTTATTTTTACAGTGTACATTGTTAAATAATGTAAAGAAAATGCTTGTAATTCAGAAACAGATTCTATGTGGAAAAAGATACTCAAAGTGTAATATTAAACAAAATAATTTAACAGTTCAGTAGCATTAGTTTATTCCTCTAGACTTCAGTTATTCATCCACAGGAGGAGGGGGGCGGGGAAAAACATAAATCAATGGTAAATATAACCAGCTCTCGCATAACATTAAGTGAAAAAACGACCTCAAACTTCTCAGATCAAAATTAAATAACCACGTGCTGCATCCAGCTGATGTGCTCCCCTGTCACAACTATTCCCCCGTGTCTCACCACCGCCTCAGCCCAGCCGCTGCTCCCTCCCTCCCGAGGAAGGGCAGGGGCCCTCGGCTCGCCGCAGGGAGCTCTGCCTCCCCCCCTTCCACCACACACACCGGGAGCCTCCCCTCTCATTCCTCTAGTCTGCACTTCAGTTACAAAGAATAAACCCCCCAAAATCCAGGGAACTCGGAGCCCAGCCCCCCAGCCGCTCAGGGGCTCGTCTCCAGCCTCCACCTGCCCTTGCTGCCAAAACTGCTGTAAGAAAAAAAAAAAAAAAAAAAAAAAAGTGACAGGAAAAGGAATAGACCTGGCACGTTTCTTTTTAAAAATAAAAGAGTCAGAACATCCGCAGACAGAAAAACTCCCTATTAAGGCTCCAGGGGGGAACAACGCTCCTAGAAAAAAAAATTCAGGCAAGTAACATCTGTGATGCACCAGCTTCCAGGCTACCGGCGAGCTACTCCCGAAGTAGCAGGAAGCAGTACTCTCACCCTTCACAGCTTTTTGCAGCACTACATAAATACTGGCTGGTATTATTTTTACTTTGAAGAGGAAACCAGTATTTTTTAAATACAAAGAGAGACCAAATATGGAGAATGACCAAAGCAGAAGGTACAGTACAGTTACTAAGAGGTGACAGATAGTTACAGTCCTGGTACCAGCTTGAAATCTGTCAGAGTGAACAAAACTGTAAATCCTCCAAGACAGACAGAGGAAACTCCTTGACGCCGGCTGTTTCAAGTACATCCATTGCCGGCAATGGACGTTGCACCAGGACAGTCTATTCCTGGCTTAACTGGATTTTATGCAAAAAAAAAAAAAAAAAAAAAGGTAAGAAAAGCAATCCCAGCAGACAAGCCCACGCCAACGAGCAATGGCACCTCTCCCTCAAGTCACATCCTGACCAAACACCCTCTCCACTTCGCGGGTGGAGTCAAACTGCATCTCGAGTCGGGCCTTTCCCAAAGATCCACGTTCTCCCCACCCACCCTCTGTTCCTGACCCAGACCTCCTGCCCCGTGGGCAGTGTCGCTTCGCCTCCGTTTAGCTTCGCCCGCCACCCTCCGTCCCACCCCCACCTGACCCCGTCACACCAGCACCTTCGGACCTGCCCGCCTGGACAAGTTTCCCCACCGCCCCGAACGCGGGTCCGACCCCCAGCCACCTCCCCCCCCGCGCGCGCCTGCTCCGAACAGCAACGGTACCGCTGAATCAACTCCCCTGTCCCAGCCACCGGGCACGACCCGTCCATCCTTCCCTGAACCTGCCCTCGGCCCACCTGGGGGGCTGCTGGGAAGACGCTGCGAACTGCAGAAGCAATCGAAGTCCAAGGCACTAAAATATCCAGCAAGCATACTGGGAGAACAGACAAGTATTCAAGTACATTAATTTATACAATTTTACATTCACATTTATTTATCTAATACAATGAAAATACAAAGGAAAAAGTTAAAGTGTCTCCAATAAGTATAAGGATATAGCTAGCTTTTTTTCCCGTTTTTTTCTTTTTAACTTTTTTAACCCTCTATATTCCACTCATTTTTAAACTACTGTTGTCCAACAACATTTATATATCACAGTGTTTCCACATCAAAACTGATGGTAAGTACATGTCCGCAGGGAACTTTTAAAAATTTTTAAACAATTTAAATTGCTCTAATGCTGCAGTCAAAGCTGTTAATATCTTACTTAAAGCAGTAATGACCTATCAAGCACGGGCTGCACTGCAAGTCCATTCGTGTGCCCCATCGTTTCGGAGCCAGATACAATTGACTGGGGAGAGGGAGAGGAGGGGGATTCGGACAGCTTTTCTCCTGGTCTTGGTTCTTTCTTCAGGGAGAGATGAGAAGCGCGCTAAAGCCTCATGCTAGCATTCAGCTCTCCCACCTCAAACACGTGTGGATTCAGCCTCAAACCAGGGAGAAATTTGACAGCGAGACCCCAATAACCGACCCCGTGACTTCTCTTCACAGCTCTTGGTCCATACAAGAGCAGAACCCCTCGGTCAAAAGCGCTGTCCCATCGTAAGGATGCTGATCATCCTCCTCCCCCTTGAAACTGGGTGGGGAAACTCCCTTTACAGAGAGCTGACAGCAATGGTTGGAAAAGAGAAATTCATTCCCAGTCTGGCAAGCTACCAGTTCATTGCAGCACTAGTAGTTGACACAGGGCCCCATCTCCCTCCCCACGTCCCGTCCCCAGGTCTAGCCAGCACGGTCTCCGAGCGTGGCTAAGTGGTCCGCAGGTTGGAGCCTGGAGGGTTGCTGATCGATTTTTGCAAATTGCTGATGTTGAAGCTTTGCAAAGACGCGGCACCTACGGGCTGGAACTGGCCGAGCGGCGGCTGTGCTGGACCACCCGTCCCACTCCACGGAGCGGCAAAAGACGCTGCTGGATAACCGTACTGCTGCGGAGGGCACATAGCCTTTGTGAAGGGACCTAAAGAGGTAGCTGATGCTGCAGAGATGGGCGTAGCACCCAGGGAAGATGTCATAGAGATACAGAGCTGACCCGGCGCCGAGAATTTTCTTGCCATTCCGGGGCCCTGAAAGAAAACCCAGCCCCCAAGGGAAGTTACACAGCTGCGTTCCAACAGCCCGGGCCCACCCCTTGCTCCACAAGCCCTTCCCAACGGGTGTTGACAAGAACACACCACTGCCCTCCTCTTCAGTTATCCCCTTCCCTTCCGTAGCAGGCGATATTAAAGCCCCAGCTAACAGGCTTCCAGAGCAGTTGTCCGAGCTACGTAGCAACTGTACTCCAGCCCTGATGTGAGAGCAACAGCACCGACAGTTTCTTGCTGTGAGAGCTGACGGATTCCATCTTACCTCATAGCTGCTATGCCCTTTGCCAACTTTCTTGCCGGAGAGGTTCATGGCATCTCGGGCCCAGTTATCTACCAGCTTGTGCAGGTCGTCTGTGAAAGTCCCTTTCCGGCTTGAGGCGATAGCAGTAGGCTGAGCCTGGGGTGCTTGGCTGTTCACTGTAGCCCCGACGGTGTTAGTGCTGCTGGTCCCTACAAATACAAAAAACGGGAATCAAAACTCAGGTTAAAGATCATCTTTCTCTAGTTAATTTAATAACTGTGGTAATGGTACATCAAATAGAGAGCCAGTTAAAATGCCATGCAGATTAATTCTAAGTTTCAATTCCAGGACACACTGAAGTGGGAACTACAATGACTCCTGCAGCCATTTGCTCCGATTAAGAGTGTTTCACAGATGTGTTTATTTTTCAAGAAGTGCTGCAAGTAGTCATCTCAAGAGGGGACTAGTAGAGGAGATTAGATTTCAGCTCTGAATGACAATCCAGTCCTGTCACTCTCTCACCCTACACCTTTTAGTCAGCAGCAACCACTGCTGGCACAGGTCAGTTCCACCTTGGGGGACAATGCTGGATGCTGAATAAGGAGCAGTACGATCAGCATCGCCAGCTGCTCTGTAGCAAATTATCTCCACTTTGTAAAATGAAGAGGAAAATTCACCCAGATTACGCAAAAAAGCCACAGTGACAAACAGCAACTGTTGTTTCCAATAGCTGCCATACTTATGTTCTTGAGGATAACCAGATGGGACTGTCCTCATCCACCAAACAGCCAGGAGCAGCAGGGGAAGTCTGCACTGCATTGAATTTTGCTTTTTGCCTCTGAAAACATTTTTTTGCCATTATGTTCAGATTTCCCATGTCAGAAGAACAAGCATTTCAGATGCAAACAACTAATACAGCTTAAAGAAGGCAGAAATGAGACTAGTTCCTCAGACATGCTTTGACAAGTTTTTCTATTCACTGGGTTGATTGCAAGAACACAAAAAACCCTTCGCATAAATATCAGGTTTCGGTTCTGCTAGAAAGCTTGCTGAACATTATCCTGTAGAAATAAAAAAAAAAAAAAAATCTAGAAGCTTTGTTTTGCATAGCCTCTCTATCTCCTTCACACTTATAAAGAAGCAACTGCACTCAAATTTAGGCTTTGCAAAAGCAGACCTCGTAACAGGAATTGAAGAAATTGTCTATTACCAAGCACCCTAAATTCCCAGCAGTGCTGCAAAGTATCCTCATTTACAGACGTGGAAGTGACAGTTAACCACTAGGGCAGACTTTTTCTGAAGGACATGGTAAAGATAGAATGAATCTAGATTTTTCATATCCCTTTGGCACAAAACCAAACAACAAAATCAAAATCTGGCTGCTGCAGTGCTAAACCCAGCACTCCTTGTGAGCACGCAGCCTCCCCTACTTAGGTTCTCAAAGTTCCTCAGACATTTCTACTTGCTCACTCTGAAGACTGCAACTGGGAAATCCAAGAAAACTTGAGTCTGTGGCAGACATTTCTGAAGAAAACGGATTGAAAGTGGAACATCGAAAATGCCAGCAATGAAAATCATCTCTCTATCGCCAAGGCCAAATGACAGAGTTGCTGTCTCTTGCCTGACAGCTACTTCATCTGTTCCACTTCCCCTGGCTATCAGCCACATTCCTTGCAACCACTGTATCAAAGGAAGAACTGGCTCCAAACCCCTGCAGGAATGCTTCATATCGAGGAGTGAATTAGGAAGGTGACGTACTTACTATGCAGGACAAATAAGCAAAAGTGTTACTGCCTCTAGTGGTGCTGAGGGGGGAAGGATACGTATCCCTCCCGCAAGTTCCAGCTCAAGCATGGCAGTGGCTCCGGGTCTTGGTGCCCGCAGGGGGGGCAGCAGTGGTTACAGGCAGGCAGACACATGCGACAGGACGCACGAAAAGGAAAGGAGGAGGTTCCCTGACCAGGGTGTGCAGCTGCAGCACAGATGAAGGGT